TAACTAAAAAAGCAGTGTCACCTCCAGGAGGCAGCATTTTATTGCAAATACACAATCTATGATTTGGTGTCTGACACTTCAGAAGGTTTTGAGGCCCCTCAAATCTCCTGCGATTACTAAAAAGTCCTAGTAGAAAGGAAATAATCATAGGCTTGCTGTGGAACTACCTGTGCAAAAAATAAGCCTTGGTTCTCCAGCCAGAGCCGACTCTTGGATGGAATGGAGATAGCTAGGTGCAAAACATGCCCTGTTTTCCGTAGCACATTAGCAGAGTTTGGTGGCAAAGCAGAATGTCTGGGTTGCTCATCTGCTCTCAGCAAGATGCCCTCGCCCATTTAGGAGAACATTTGCACATTTGCTGAACTTCACTTGCTGACTGGGAACACGCTTAGCCTTGCGCTTGCCGCTTCCCTGAGCGACGCTTTCCTTTCAGTTGCACTGGTGGGGATTTATGTTTCTTTCTCTCGCCCAGGTGTGTCCTGAGCCAGAGCTGACCTTTCCTCCCTGCGTGCCCGTTCCGAGGTGCTCAGCCCTCACACGACAGCAGTCTCACCTTCCGCGGGGCCTTGCGGTGCGCTGGGGCTCCCCGAAGTGCAGCATCTTCACGGATGGCTCTTTGGAACTGCCACTTTTTGAGAAAATGCCTTGCACATTAATACTTTCATAACATCCCAAGCAGGTCCTCTGCAATGGGTGATGGGGGTATGTGGCAGCTTCCTGAAACAGGTACACAGACAGAATTTTATTTTTTTTCCCCGTAGATCTGAATCCCACAGGTCTTGGTCTCAGGACAGGGTGCTGTCCTGTCCCAGAATCATGTCCCATGAGCACTGCACTACACTCATGCAACTACCGTACCCTTCTGCGTGCTTCCTAAACCCTTCTCCTCCTCCTGAGGGAAGCAGGGTGGCAAAAAGCACAAACACAGCTGGGAGGTACTCCTGTAAGTCTGGAGGTTCTTCTCTTAATTACTTAATTTACTTGATTTATATCTACAGGTCTGTTTCAGTGACAGTGATGGAGAGACCAAGCCCACATTCCTTGCACAGATGTTCCTTCCTTTTTCTTCTTTTTTGTTCTTCTTTGCGTATAAATACACAGAGACAACCACTTTGTCCCAACTGCACTGCAGAAGATTATTCCAATGGTCTGTAATAATTCTGTTGGGGGACACTTCATCACTTGGAGGAAGACAAAAATCCCTTTCTTAAAGCATTTACAACCTGAGGCAACAGCATACAGAAGCAAAAGGAGGTAGATGCAGTCACTGTAAGCATAAGCCTTTTACCTTCACTTTTGTTTCTTCCATGATTTGCTTTCCTGTGAAAGAAATGCCTGACAGGTGTACTGGTCGTCTGTCATTAACTATTTCAGTGCTCAAAGCTGGGTGGTGTAAACACCCTGCTGTGATCTAGGAAGCTATTTTAAACCACCATCCTGTTCAAACTGTCCCATTTCTGTAGCACAGAATCTCAGAATCTGATAAGCCCAGTGAAACCATGAACCCACACTCCTAGGCTGAATGTGACTGGTACAAGGATTTCCCTGCAAAAACCTTCTCACTTTGCCATCCCTGGCTGTTCCCTCATGCTCATGTCTGGTGCAACACTTGGGCGAGAACCACAGCATCCCTGCAAACACCAGCCCCCGACGGAGCAGTCTGACAGTACCCTGCAACCACCCTTCATTCAGAGGCATTTCCTTGTGATAGAGGAACTCTGGGTGTCCTAGTGCCAGAATAAGAGCTGCAAACCACTGACCTGCTTATTCGAGTGCTTGGCAATTGCATTAAAGAGCTTTCTTCTGGTAAGGCATGAACTACAGGCAGGCAATACAAAAGCTCTTGCAATTCTTCATGTGATCTGTATTAATGAGTCTTCATTCAGGGGGAGCCTCTTTCATATAGCCAATGGACAGAAAGGCCCAAAATATCAGTAGAAAAGCTCAAAGCAGGAACAGAGAACCCATAAGCACCAAAGGCCGTCCAGTGCCTTACATTTTGTCCTCACAGAATATTCATGCCTGAAGCACCAGGAGCCGAAAACCATGTATATGCTTTTGTCACTCTAAAATATGTTGTCAGGCCTGAGCCTGCCCACAAAGTTTAGCCTGCACAAGTAGGCTTTCGTCTTTCTGCCTTGGCAAGTCTCTTTCCAACGGCAGATGTGACAGGTAAAAAAGCTACACAACGCTGGGCAATATCAATGTGAATGGCTGTTAAAACAAGCAAGTGTAAACTGGCTTTGAAATACATATCGGGTCCAATTTCTTTAGAACAGGATGTGTTAAGAAAAAGCAACCACACTAGATAGGTGTGGTGACTGTATGTGCCAACGCTACAGTTAAATTATGTATCTGTACCAGCTACATGCATCAGTGCACACATAAATTCCACAACTGTCGGCCTGTCGCTTGTGGAAGCTCTCACACCGCTAATGGTCAATGTTTATCAGGGGCTGTTTTGTTTTCCTACCAATAGCAGCAAAGGCTGCTCCACAGCTGGTATTAAAATAAGGTATCTGGCAATGATTCTCTACATCTTGGGTCTCACAGCATACACAATTTCTGGCAAGGAAAACTTAATCATCATAGATGAGCAGCCAGAAAACATCTTGGAGAGGTACGCTATGAAATGATGATGTTGCAGGGAGGTTTTGATGTGGCCTTCCTTCCTCAGCCTGTTATAAACAAGTCTTGCATAATTCTCAGAACAGCTCGTAGAAAACACACAGACTGCATCTCATGGATGGACTCTTCCGTCCGAATCTCTCTCCGAATCTTCTCCACTCCAAATCTCTGTCAATGTGCTCCACCCTTAACAGCAGTTTCTTCCTTTTCATATGGTTTCCAAATCCCAGGGGTCTCTGACCGAGCTTGCGTTAGATTTCATCAGCACCTTGAGGAAGATTAAATCCTGTGGAGGAAACCAAAGGCACCTGAACGGTGCTTCCATCCTTTATGTCCTCTCTTCTACTTCTCCTGAGTGGTGGTGGAAGTCCATAATGATATGATGCACTCTTCAAATTCAAGATAAGACCTCATAGCCCTATGACTACGGCGTTACCTGTTCAACTATGGGCTGAAGTCATTGTTAGGTAAGTCAGAAAATGGTTGCAACAGCCTAGCAGTGTCAGACAAAGTTCAGATCACCAGAAGAAAACACATGGGTGCTGCTCCAGGCTTTAGAAGGGAGAGGAGCACCCAGTCACACTTCCTCATCTCCTCTATGTGATGTTCTTCCCATCTTGACCACAGCGAGCAATGTGCCAGTGGTCCAGCCTGGTGTGGCCACTTTAATGGCCACAATAAAGACAAAGCTCAAGGTTTCCCTGAGCTGAAAGGGCCAGTTTCCACGGCTCAGCAGTGCACTGGGGGATCGTCTCTGCTTAAGTAGTCTGTGGTGATTCTCTTCTTGATGGGGGGTCGGGAGGGTTGGAAGTGGGGGCAAGACACGTGTCTGACAAGCCTGCCAGGGTGAGGAGATGGCGAGATGATGGAACGTGCACTGCATCTGTAAGGATGCTGCAGCGTTAGAGAGGGATCTTTTAACAGTTAAAGTGAGAGTCGGTTGTGTGAGGGAAGCTTTGTGCCAGGGAGGTGAACGTGTCATCTATAACGGAACAAAGGCTGAGGGAGTCGGCATGAGTAAGATGCGAAACATCAGGAAAAAAAAGTCAGGAAAAAGCCATGGCAAGTCATGAGCTGCAGAAAGATCAAAAAACGTGAATTTCTAAACATTTCTGTATACATGGTTAAGTTTTTTCCTGATCCACAGGCATCAGCTGCATTCCAAAATAGAAAGACAAAGAAACTCCCAGTAGAACTGGGTATTTTTCCCAGACCCTTATAAGGAATATTTTGCTTCTTGCTTACTAGTTCCACTCTGCCCCAGATATACAGCGACCCGGAGCCGTAATCATCTTCTGGCCACAAAGTGTTCCTTGTGAAGTGACCGGGAAAATAGTGGTACATGTCACAAGAAGCGCACTGAAGACAGTATTCACACTCTTCCCCAAGTTGTGCAGAAATAAGGCAAAAATAAATGAGTCAGAGGAAGTTAACCACCCCTTTGACTCGAGAGAAAGCTGAGACGGACACGCAGCCCTTCAGGTCTGTTCATGTAGGTTCTCCCTCCGCGCTGCGTGGCCCACGGCCTGACACGGGCGCATAGCACGGTGTGACTAACGCCGAGCATATGTTGTTTGCTCGCCCATCCTCCCCGGAGGAAGCAGCGAATGCGACAGCGCGTCGTGTTTGATAGGATTTTCTGCTGTCTTTTTAAATAGAAGCGCTGCTCTGCACTGATGCTACAGAAAGCAGCTCCAAAAGGCTCAGACCCCAGGAAGCAGGTGAGGTGTGGGGCAGTGCTTAATTCTCGCACATGTTTGCTCCCCTGCCTCAGAAGAATGAGAAAGTTTTGTCTGACTTACAGGCAGGTGTTACTGTGACTGTAATGACACCGGGCTTCTCAGGCCAGCGCCTTCTGGCAATCGCTATCTTCGCCTTAAGACAGCAAAACTCATCCTCCAGCAAATTAGCAAGCTGGCCCTCAGAGATATTGCTAGGGAGCTGATCAAACATCTGAATGCACTTTCTGTGAGTTAGCTAGCAAGACCCAGCCCCTTCTGCTGACGTCTTTCCTCTCTATCGCCCATCAGAGTTTTCCCGGTGGAGCTGGAGAACAGGCTTCAATGAAAGCTGCCTGTTTGCAGCTCTGTGGAGACCGCAGGCACCACGGCCACTGTTTCCTCCACCTGACCTGGAGCAGAAACTCCATCATCAGGACAGAAAGGTAGCCTTGTTGCCTAGCAAAGGTGGGATGATTTATCACTGCCTCTAGATTGGTCCCTTTCCCTCGCTGCACAGCAGAATTGCGTTCAGACTTCCAAGGAGAATGAAGCCAGGCTAGGAATCGGAGTGGCTGCGCGAGAGCTGCTCTCCCAGGGAGGAGAAGGAGTCACAGGGTTTCTGCGCTTTCTGCTCCTGTGCAGCACAGGACGATGGTTTTATCAGCCCCAGTTATAGCCCTGGGGGCTACCTTAGGGACTGCAACCAGCATCCTCGCCCTCTGTGGTCTCACCTGCTTCTGCAAATGCAAGCAACCTGGGAAAGGAGTCTCAGAAAAGGACCAAGAGGAGGATGTGGAAAATGCTAAGCCCAGCGTGCTTCAGCCAGCCCAGCAAGTAAGACACCATCTCTCTGATTTACTCTGTGATTTCTTTTTAAATGCAGAGGGTGGGAATGCAACTTCTGTTAGGCTACTTAGCCTGTGCTTTATGCTGCCTGTTTATCTGCTGCCTGTGTTCAGGATGTAACAACACGAGAGCGGGAGGAGGAGTGAGGGGAAAAAGGGAGATGGGCTGGGTGACCTGCAGAATTGCGGAAGCAGGAGACAGCTGCCACATTGACAGAGAGAAAGCTGCTAATGGCAAAAAGAGGGGAGGAGGACTGGAAATGCTGCTCAGCTGTCAAGCTAGATCACGAGGGAGACCATCTCCTGAGGAGAGACAACTGGACTTTACCAGGTGGCAAGCAGCATTGTACAGAGGAGAGGACTCCTGCTGGGATCTCCTATAGCAGCTATTTTCCTAACTCTGCTCATGGTATCTAATGCTCCCTGCAGGATAGTTCCCTGTCAACAGCTGGTTTCTAGTGAAAATTATCCCTCCTCCTCCCTCTGCCCCTCTAACTGAGTGAATTAATCATCTGAGAAGTAAGGCATTGAAATGATAATAAAATGCAAGTGAGAATCTAGAGTGTGATGACTGGACGATCTCATCACACTGAATTGCTTCTTCTCTTCCTCCAAGAGCAATGTGGAGTACGGATAACGCCTGGCATCCCTGCACGGTCTCTCTTTCTTGTTAGAATCAAACCTCCCTGACTTACTCCTGAGAGCAAGGGGAATTATTGGGCCCTGCTAATACCCTTATTAAGGGGAAGCTCCTCTTCAAAGGGAAACATTTGACTGATTTCCTTGGCTGACTTGGCTCTGCAGCGTGAGCTATAACACTGGTCAGTCTGTGGCAGTAGTACCTGTTGGCTGCTGCTCCCGATGTTTGTATGTGCCGACGTTCTTTCCATTTCCATCTAGCCAATCACCTGCCATACCAGCCAATTTCAAAGGCCAGTGATCCACTGTGTAAGTCTTTGTTTGCCTTTTAATTATCTGGGCTGCCTATTATTTTTGTATTCTTCAAAGAGCGTAGCAGGAGTCCTAACTGAATTTCTCTGTAATGTCTCTCTCTGGCTGCCATCCTTAAGCTCCTAGCAGAAAAGAGCCCTTGGCATCCTCATGGTCCTGTTGCAGTTTGTTCTGAGGAAAGACGACAAAATCTACTACTTGTACTGTGCAGGCTGGTGCAGATACACAGAATTGCGTTGCCAGAGCTTCTGGTTGCTGGGGGGCAGCAGGATGGCTCTGCTGACCACGGATGAACACCTGCCCTCAGCTTAGGACTTCTCAAGAGATCACTCCTAATTCTGAGCGTGCGCCCACGAGCATGGTGATTACCTCCTTGTACCTGCTTGCATTTTCCCAGGACGCATTTCACCCACTATTCTGTTTGACAGTGTTGTCACGTCCTTTGCAGGCTCCTTTCTTGTCTTTTCTCCGCTCGGTCCCCTGGCGTCCCCCATGGGCGTCCCTGCCCATGACAGGGAGGTCGGATTAAATGATCTCTAAGGTCCCTTCCAGCCTAGGCCATTCTATGATTCTAACTCATACAGGGTATTTTCGAACTCTTTTATATAAGAATGTACAATAATGCTGAGATTCCCCAAATTTACCATTGAAATGAATGTAACTTGGACAGTCACATCACTTTGCATAGCATTTTTTCTAGCTATTGTCTGGAACAACACTACCCACAGATAATCTCACCATCAGCCTCTTTCTACAGGAGACTTGATGTTGTTGTAATCTTCTAGCTCAGAAGCCTCTGAAATCTTTACTTTAACTCCATCCTTGGGCTGGACTATTTATTTCATACAGCCTTTTGGGAAACATCTTGGGAAAGCATTAATCTGTCCTGGAGCGTGCCCTCCAGGGTGTTATCCTGCTTCTATGACTGAAATAAGCACTAAGTCACCGTAAATTCCAACCAGGCCTCCAGTACCCAGCAGCTACTAGGTTATGCTCCTCACAATATTTCTACATTCCTCGAGTTTTGCTATAACTTAGTCTAGTATTTGATCCACAGGAGACCAAGTTGTCCTACCTGTCCTCAGCGTATCTGTCACTGCTACCTGCACGACTGTATTCTTTTAGGATCGTAGACTTTCTAATCAGAAGTATTATTTCTAATGTTACTGTTTTTGGGGTGTTTTTTAAAAAAAATCTAGCAGCCAAATTCTAGCAGCCAAAGGAACATTCTGCCACAGAAAGTGCAAAATGTTCTTAGTTTGCATATTCCGCATGTTTGACAGTTCTTTCCAATTAAAATAGTTTTCTCGCCAGGAACATGCGTTCTCCTATGCTGCCACTGATTCAGAATCAGTCTATACACCTCGAAGGAATGAATCTCAGCTTGAGTTCTGAGCTTGTGACGTTTTATCATCTCTGTCTATGTTTATAAATTGTCCTGTCGGGACTTTTTTCCAACTACACTAGTACACTGTATGTCCTAGTCAGCGCTTGACATACTTAATTACTGAAGCCTGTCAGGGCCACTGATTCTGATAAACAGAGATGACAAAAGGAAGATGAAGCAAGACCACATTTTATTCACCTGGCATGTCTCCCATGACAGTGATGCTTGTATTTGCTATAGGCAGAAGCTCCCCAGGGGCATGCCCTACATACGTGAGGAGAAGAGTTTGAACAAAAAGATACATCCATAGAACAATTAAAAATGGCTGTAGGTTTGCAAAGTCTCAGCAAAGCATGCAGAGTGAAGATTACTAAGCATATCCAGCAATGGCAACAACCTCTCTGCGTGACACTGGGCTGGGACCTCAGTCGCAGCCTCCTCGCTACCTTTGGTTTCTTTGCTTTGGTGCATTTTATGCAGAAGGACCCGGACTCATCTGCGCATCCCTTCATTTAAGATAACATCCCTGACTTGCAATGGGAACTTCCACAGGGCAGTGCTACGTAACCAGATTAGCAGGCAGCACTTGGGAGCAGAGCTGGCAGCAAAAATAATAAACAGAGGCAGATGCAGTTGGAAGAGGGGGTGGGCCAGTCCTACTGCGCTTGCATATGTCTCTCATCTCTAATTCTGCAGAGCAGACAGACGAGAGGAATATTTAGACCCAGCAGAGCTTTTTGTTGCTGTGTGCTGAAGGATTTCCTGACTAAATGTCGGGCTTTTAGCAAGCGGAAGAAAAGACTGTACCAGCGATATCTCACATCCACGTGGCATTTTTCATCCCACAAAGTGCAATGCAGGCATCCTGCTCGGGTGTGATGGTCAGGGACTGGTGCAACAAGGGCTTCAAGGGGGATAGCAGTGGGGACGGACCCCCACGGCAGGCACCACGTGCCCGCCAGCAGCACTGCCTCTGCTGAACAAAAGCCACCCGCTTGCTCAGGCTGCTGTCTGGTGATTCCTAACGTATTCTGCTTGGTCAGTCTGCATTAATTTTAGGAGAATGGAAATCTGCATTTCAGATTTGGATGAGTGACTTCCAATTCCCTAGGTATTTTAGGGCTGATGAGGCTCACACCTCTAAACAGGGGATCTCACTCAGGATGTCTGAACCCAGCCGAAGGCGGGGTGGGGGCTGCACGCGGTGACATCTGTCTTTCTCAACTTGCTTCTCCGTCAGGACCCTTAAAATTAGGCAAGACTAAAGGCTCCGTTATGTAGTCCACTTCCTAAACACAGACGCACTGGCTGCCTGCAGGAGACAGAGTTGCTGACCTCACTGGCTCTTCACCGCTGCCAAGTGCACGTAACCACATCAGCAGAGGATGACTAGAGAGCTAAGTGCAAGGCTGCTTTCTTTCTCGAGGGACAGGTGTGCTCCCGCAGGACACGTGAACTGGGACCACAAAGTCCCCACACAGACAAAGGCTTCAGGGCATCATCTTCATTCATTATGAATAGGAGACAATGAGACTAATGAAAAACTTAATTACCAATGTTTTCTGGCTCGCCCTTGATCTAACTTAACACAGAAAAGGTTGGCAGGCAGCGGGGTTGGAAGAAATCCCACTGCACAATAATCAACCAAAACGGCAGTTTTACTTCTGCTTTTTGTCTTTCGTGTTTTGGAAACATTAATAAAATCTATTGCAATGGACAGGGTCATTTGCTAGTCAGCTTTTGTTCCTCCCTGTTGACGAACCCAAATATAAAGGAATCAGGAATTATTTCAGTTGTGAGCAGACAGGATTCTTTCTTGGGACATAAGGAAAAAAGGACTGTTATATTCCACTAAAATATTTTTCATTGTTTTGGAAGAACAGTAATGTCTTTGTGGCAAGCTTTGCTTGGCCTGTCTGAGCATCACAGTGTCTTTCAGGTTCTTCTGCTCATTCTGTGTTCACCATTCAGCAGGGAATTGAAATGTCTCTGAGGAGATCTCACAGTGGCCTTCCCGTACCTGAAGGGGCTACAGGGAAGCTGGGCACGGGCTGGTCACCAGGGTGTGCAGCAACAGGACGAGGGGCAGTGGTTTTAAACCAGAGCAGGGTAGATTTAGACTAGATCCCAGGAAGAAGTTCTTTGCTACGAGGGTGGTGAGACCCTGGCACAGGTTGCCCAGAGAGGTGGTGGAGGCTCCACCCCTGGAGACATTCAAGGTCAGGCTGGATGCGGCTCTGAGCAACCTCATGCAGTTAAAGGTGTCCCTGCTCACTGCAGGGGCTTGGACTGGGTGACCTTTAAAGCTCCCTTCCAGCCCAACACATTCCATGATTCTAAGATTCTATAAACTCTGACACAATTCAAATTTCAAACCTGGTGTAATAAAGGGAAAATGCGTGTCTGAGGGTCAGCCAAGAGGCTGAGATGACCACTGAATCAGCTGCTCTTGATCTCCATTGCAGGGCTCACTTGTTTAACAGTTCTCCTTTGTCTTATTGCTCCATGTCGATTGTACTTGCTCCACATGACTGTATGATCCGTGCCTTTGCCTTTCCAATGCTTCCTACATATTCCTGTAAAATGTTCTGAGTCCGTGGGTGGCTATAGCCTCTTCATCTTGGGTTTGACTTATAGAATCATAGAATGGTTTAGGTTGGGAGAGACCTTGAAGACCATCTAGTTCCAACCCTCCTGCTGTGGGCAGGGACACCTCTGTCTCAGGTTGCTCAAAGCCCCATCCAACCTGTCCAACACTTCCAGGGATGGGGCATCCACAGCTTCCTGGGGCAACCTGTGCCAGTGCTTCAGCATCCTCACGGTGAAGAATTTCTTCCTTATACCTAATCTAAATCTACCTTCTTTCAGTTTCAAGCCATTGCCTCTTGTCCTATCGCTACAGACATAAGGGTAAAAAACAGTATACCTCAATAATTAAAAAAATGAAGTTCATGGTTGCTTTCCATGCTAAGAGAAAACATAGACCCATTAGAGAAGGATTAACAGGTACAGTGTCATGGGTTAGGGCTGGGCTGGCCAGTAAACGTGAACAGATGCTCTCTAACCTCCTCTCCCTGCCCAAACCAGGCCATACAGGAACAGAGGAATAATCAAATGATAAGAACATAACTTTTTTTTTGTTACAACCAAGCACCTGTAGAGGAGTAAATCTGAAAAGGCATATGCCAGGTAGAAGGGTATCAGCTTTGGCAAGAAAATCTCTCCACATACAGGCAGTGGTTTCTACAACCCTAGAAACGATGGTGTAAGAACAGCCAGAGGGACTGTCTTCTCTCCCTTTGTAGTCTCAGCTCATTTAACACTGAGGGAATCAGAAGAATTGGTCTAATTAGTGCAAAGTAATAAAAAAGGTTTTAATTTTCAGTTCAACGTTAAGAAAACTGCAGAGCCTGTCCAGCCTCGAGCACTCCTGAAGTTTCCCAACATTTACGGCCCCAAACCAGTAGTAACTTCACCTGAAATTGTTAACTATACGCAGTACTCCCTGAAGACAACAGAAGAACCAGCTGCTGGAAAACACACTGGTTTGGATGAGAACAGGATGAAGATAGAAGTCAACGAAGAGCTGTTTGTCCTCCCTCAAAACGGTAGGAGCATTTGGTCTTCAGACTAACAGCTGTTTTCCTGGGCGTAGGTCTGTAATACTTCTGAGCGTAATGTGGTTGCAGTTGGAGAGAAAAATGCAAAAATGAGGACGTGGGGCGCTTTTCGTTCCCTTAGCAGCAGCAGTGTGAGCGAGTTCTGTCTTCAGTGGATGTGCTTAATAGAAAGTAGTCATGGAGCTCATTGGGACATTCAGATAACAAAGATGTAGTTGTGTCTGGTTGTAAATATTTTTTTATCTGATTTTGTGTCGAATAATCTGGCTCCCTGAAAGCAGACATTTTGTGCAAAAGCATGTATTTAGTATCGTTCTACTGAGAACAGATGTCAGAGTACGGGTAAAACATCTGGCCCAAACTAGGCAGCGTATCTCCTCCAGGACAAATGCTAGCTGTCCTCACCAGGGACACTGGGGCTTCAAGTGTCTACTTTATTTTCCCTGCTGCTTTTCTTTCCAGCGGTTTGGTGAGAAGGTCCTGGCTTGTTACGATGCACAGTGAAACCAAAGGCTGACACCTCAGACGTCTTTGCCAAACAGAATTCTTGTTTTCCAGCCAGCCCAAAGGGTAACGTGCCAAAGCCTGGAACATAAGATTCCTGGAGGCGGAGGGAAAAATGCATACATCTGGCAGCATGTCTAGGTTGCTTCCACTCTGATTTTTTACCTTCACAGCTGTCTTCTAACAGGATAATTGCCTCTTATGGTTGCCACATTAATAAAATCTTTCTGAAGACTTGCCAGAGACACATTGCCATCTGTCATGTTTTTTTTTTAAAAGAAAATTAGGTTTGGGGTTTTTTTTTACAGTTGCTTGTATTTTTGTCCTTCTGGAAGGACAACTGCTCTCTTCACCCCTCCGCCCTGAGACTTGTGAGTATGGAAAAGAAAGTGCCATGAGGAGCAGCTACATTGGAGGAAGAGGCTGTCCGAGCCACATCCTTAGGTGTCAGGGAGAAGATGACGGGTTAGGGAGGCTGAAGGATGACGGCTGCACGTCAGCTGAGGCTTTACGCAAGTGTGTTGGTGTCAGAGACTCTCTGCACTGCTGCTGGCACCAGCAGGTTGGCTTCCTGCTGTGCCTGATTTCGCAGCTCAAGTGGTGCTGAAATAAAGCAAGGACTGTTGGGTTCCCCTTTCGGTGCCACACTGAACTGGTCTGGGCTGTGGTTGAGGTCTTTAGGAGGACTGGTCTGATTCTGTGTGAATCAGAACTGATCTTGCAGATAGGAGCTTTTGATGGCAAAAAGCCGGGTCTTCCCTTTTAGTCTTGCAACTTGCTTTATTTCAGCATGAAATACGTACTCAGCTTCAAAATCACGTGTGGAGAAACTGCCTCACAACTTCCCACACTTACTGTATTCAACCTGGTCAAGCCCTATGGAAATAGATGTCTGCTGTGTGACAAAGACTGTATTTCCAACATTAAGAAAATGTTTAGAGGGATCTGACCTAACACAGAGTGGAGTGGCAGCTCAAAAGAAAGCTCAAGTTCTCAGTCCAGGGACCACGAGACTTAATTCATCAAGTTAAAAATTATTTAAAACAATATAAACAAGTAATGAGTGCAGTTTAGACACCTTGGCCGAGGCACAAGGTGAAAGAGCCAGTGTGTGAGAACCATCTCAGAGCACAGGGTGGTAGAGAGCAAAAATGTCTCATGCTGTAGAAAGGGCTGAAAGCATGAGAAAGCAGAGCCAAAAGAAGATACGGCGATGGAGGAAGAAGGAACGTAAACGATAGCCCTGCGTTACAAGGGGTAGGAATAGTAAGACGTGTAGAAACATTGAGTGAGGATGGGGTGGGATTGTTCTCCTTGGAAGGTGAAGCCCTTCTCGCTAAAGGGGCTATTTCCTTCCAGGTGTTGTCAAGGATGTGTGTGTCACGGAGCACCTGAACCCCGAGAGGGCTGCCGGCTGCAACCAGGCCCCCGAACTGCGCTACTCCCTCGCCTACGACCCAGAGAAAGCCGAGCTGCGCGTGGCCCTTCTGGAAGGTAAGGGACAGAGATCTCCCACTGGTGACTCTCCAGGTGGAGGAGACAGGACACCCGATGGTTTTTAAAACCAACGTGCATCCCCGGCACCATGGGATGTTTCGCTGCTTCTAGGCCAGCAGAACAGAAATAGCTGCTTGAAGCGAGCATGCAGTGCACAGCTCAGAGAACCAGGAGCTTGCACAGCTCAGGCCCAGGAGCCGGGAAGCAGGATGGGCCCCTTGGGGGCAGGGGGAAGGGGGTTGCTATCTCCTTCCACTATAACTTTCGTTGTTTGCTTGACCCGCTCCCTACTGCCTCTTCCTCAAGTCAAGACAAGGGCTGAGGTAGAGATCTCAGGCTTATCTTGCAGGTCCCTGAGGAAGGTCCCTCTGGCTGTGCCCAGCCGGGCTCCATTCCACCCTCTGCAATGGGAACTGACAAGTGTAACCGCTTCGCTGCTCAGGGCTGAGGCATCACCAGTTCCTCTGGGAAAGCAAAACAAGCTGACTGAATAATTCATGCACAATGCAGATCTCTGTGGAAAACTGATCACATTGCACCCTCAGAAGTGAGGATTGAACGGGTGCTAAGCAGCAGCCGCTGCCGTGGGCCGCCTGCCAGCAGCATCCCCCAGCTTGCCATGGACACCCACACCTGTGGGCTGCGACCGTGGGGCTCCTGCACCCCACTGCCACCCAGGATGGATCCGGCTCTGCTCCCCCAAGGAACCAGGAGGCCCCCCTGAACATGTGGGACCTGGCAGCTGAGGAGCAGCTGTCCTTGGGCTGGCCGCAGCAAGGACTTCAGCTTTGCCCACAGAGCCAGGCTGTCTGGTGAGCCCTCGGGGGAAGGTGTGCTCCTCTGCGCTGCTCTGCAGCTTTTGACAGAGCATGTTTCCTTGAGCTCAGGTGTTGCTCTCCCAAACACGAGCAGAATCCTTCTGCAATGGCAGAACAAGGACACTGAGCACCACGAGGAAAACTCCACAGCGTGGGCTCATGGATCAGTCTGCTCTGTGCAAACAGAAGCAGGGGTCAACGCTTATTCAGCTGTTTTACATTGTGGCTCTCATGCAGCAAGAAGCTATTTGTACACATGTATTTCAGGGCTGTCTTTGGTCTTTACAATCAATCTTTCTTTTCCAGCTCTGCATGGCAGAGTGAGCGGCGACCAAGACGCTGGCTGCCATTGCTACATACTGGGCACACTGGTGAGCAAGTCCGGTATTGCTGAGGCCCAGACAGAGCTGAAGAAGAAGGTGCTTCACACCCTCTGGGAGGAGGTCCTGCGATTCCCATTGGCCAAGGAAGATATGCCAGAGGGGACACTGACCCTCACCCTGAGAAACTGCGACAAGTTCTCCAGACACAGCATTGTGGGGGAACTCAAACTGAGTCTTGCTAACATGGAGGAGTCCTTCGGGACGGACCACTGGGAAAGGCTAAAGACCCCCGAGAAGGTATGGGCTCAGTCTGTGTCAGTAGTTCAGAAACTGTAATGATTGATTCTCCGGACAAGAGAAGTCCTCTTCCAAGACAGCTGCATGTCAGTGGTGGGCTTTATTTGCTTGGAGCCAGGTTTAGAGGGGCAATGTGTGGCTGTGGAGGTGACTTTGCACAGCTCTGTGTCGGTCTACAGCTAACCATTTCTGAAAGCAATCAAAGTCCCATCAACCTGGCCCTTCCACCTGCACCTTCTGGCAGTTAAGATACATCCAAACTCCCTCTCCTCCTCCCTCAATTACATGACAATCTCTACACTCATATCTGCAATTCAAAGTCTATGTCTAGAAAAGGCAACATGAGTTTCTGTGAACGAGATACAGGACCATGGTGGCAAGAGCTGGAATACCAGAGAGTGCCTCCAGAGCAGGATGGAGTGGTTCTGCAGAGCTGGGAGAGAGTAGGGCACACAGCGGGAGCCTCCAGCTAGGAGTGAAGAATGCTGCTGGGGATGGAATGTTGGACTGAAGACCACTTATCCTTACTGAGATCAACCCAGCAGTGCTATTCATTCCGGGAGATGTCAAAACATCCCTCACTACATTGCGCTGATTTTTCTAAACGTCAAAACCTCCCTTATCCTCCTTATCCACACCTTCCCAGCCACGTAAACAGGGCAAGTGGAGGGGGAGGATTCCAACAGTACTTGAAGCAGGTACAGGGGACGCTGTATGCACACTGACTTCTTGCACGTTTGGTCAGGAGTCTTTCTCCTGCCATGAGTTCCATTAGAGAGAGGCAGCAAAAACAGAATAAAAATGAGAGGGTGTGTCTGAATCTGCTTATAAAACTTCAAGCACAAGGCTAAATATTTGCCTAATAGCTGCAAATTGAAACAAGTTCCCAGTCTGCTGCTCTAAGGGACATCCAAAAGAAACTATTGCAATGTAACGATTTAAATTCCTGAACTGGGAGAGATGGGCACTCACCTCCTGCCAAATCTACCATAGTACCTGCTTTGTAAGCAGTACCCAAGGAGCAGAGCCACCCCAGCAGTGGCCAGTTATCACCCCAGGACACCTGACAGAGTCCTGCTTGAGCAGGTACCCAGACTCACAGCAGCAGCCCTTGCTTCTCCAGGCTGGCAGCGCAAGGTTAACGCTAGCAGTACTGCTGAGCAGTGCCCCAGTTAGAGCTGAGGATGTGCAGTGAAAGCTGAATTTGCGTCATCTGGGACCTGAGAGAGCCAACCACTGCACAGAGAGCTCATATACAGATCCTGAATCATTCATCAAGAACCAGAGAGGGAGGGAGGGAGGGAGGGAGGAAGAGCTGATCAAAAGAGAGGAGCTATTTTTGACAGCATCCATCCAGGAATAAAGTTGCCGGGCTTTGTTTAAAGTCTGATGTTTCCTTGAAAAGCCAGGAGCTGCAGAAATTTCTTTCCTATCTTCCTAGTAATTCTCCCCCATAAAACGGAGGGAGCTCAGAAGGGAGCTTGCAGGTAGTGTAATTAGTATTCAGGAATTCATGGTCCTCTGTGAGCAATGCAAAGCGGAGATATTGCAGTCTGATAACCTTATCTTGTCTTCCTTCCCTCCCAGCACATTACTAATGACAGCGATGATAGCAGTTCCTTGCACAGCACCATCCCTTTTGTGATTTCGTGGTGCCCTGTACGTGTAATTCTTTGGTGACCCCCTGATGCTTTTTTATCCTTATTGCACAGAACAGAAGCTGAGGCTCTGGTGCTTGTGCAAATTTGCAAGGTTGCAGCACGATGCACAGGTTGTGGATTTAATAGTAAAAAGGAAACAGGGTATAGGAAAAGTATCTCTGGCTTGGCCTCTTCACAAACCTCCACCAGAGACCAGCCATTGTAGGTTTTGGGTTCACGTGGATACAGACTGATCAAAAACTTGCTCAGAATATTAGGAGCTAGAAAGCCGTAAGCACAAGATGAGGCACATCTACAAGGTGCATGCACATTTCCAGAGCGCTGTCACCCCAGTCTCCACTCTATCTTTCTGTTCCCTGAGCTACAGGAACAAAATTCTAGCCAAGAGCTACAGAACAGGACCTGGTGAGACGTAGAGGGGGATAAATAAACAAAAGCAGCCTATGACTTGCTTAAACAGCGGTTTTGTTCGGAGGTGGTATTTGCATTTGTCCCTCCATGGGCAATCGCCTATTTTGTGGTGGCCATGCAGCCATCTGAGTCTGCCTCCCTTTGGTTTTACCTCTGGTGGTGTTTAAGACCCACTTAGATTTAGGGCAGAATTATCTAAGTGAAATGCATATGAGCTCTTTGTTGCTACTTAAGTACGTATAAAAAAAAAAAAAAATTACTTGGGCTGATTTGGGATTGAATTTCAGGCTTCCTTGGTAATGGCCTCCCACCTGATTTGCACAGGACACATAAGTCATTCAAACCAGACAGCGACGACAGCCGTGTTTTCTGCAGAGTCAGTCAGCTCACACGGAGCATACAGGGGCCTGTCCTTGCCTGTTGCAAGTAACTGGGTGAAACCTTAATTTGAAATATTTATGGCTCACTTAGAAGAGCAGAGAAATGGCCTGGAGAAGGGCAGTCTGTCCTAAAGCCTGTAAATCCTGCTAAGGAGTCCAAAGGGAGTCTATTGAATTGACATTGGCTTTCTGGGACTCTTCTGGGTCATTAACCTCACACTAAACCAGATTTCTGTCACAAGATCCTACTCACAGCAGAATAACTGCTCCCCTCTGGCCCCTCGCCACGGGCCGGCAGCTCGGTACGCCCTGGCACGGGCTTCCTCTCCTCCCAGCTGGCTCCCAAGAAGAACACGGCCCCGATCTCCTGGGGGAGAGCCATGGGCTGCTCTGGGGCAACAGGGAGGGAGGGGAGAGCGGTCAGGGAGCTGAGATGCCAGCCAGTAATGGGCAGAAGAGAAGGGCAAAAAAGAGAAAGGCTCAGCCCTGAATCCCTCTTCCTTTGATTACACGTTCCACTAAAAGCAGGTGTATAGGAAGCAGTTACTTCCCAACAACAACAGCAAGCTGTAACTCACATGTGTGGACGAGCCCTCCCAGACATCTTTGCCAGGTTTATTCTCATCCAGTGTAACTGGAAAAATCTCCGGTATAAAACCAAAAAACTTGGTCAGTCCACAAACTTCTACCCATCACCTTGTTTTCCTGCTGTTATGGCCAAGATTGTGTAAAAAAAAACACAAACAAATGAAAAAACTTCTTCCCATGTCTCCATTTCTAGGAGCCTTCCACAGGCCATGGGGAGGTCCTGCTCTCCATCAGCTACCTGCCAGCAGCGAACCGCCTGCTGGTGGTCATTATTAAGGCTAAAAATCTCCACTCCAAGCAGCTGAAAGATCTACTTGGCAACGGTGAGTAGAGTAGCAAGAAAACAGAGACTTGTTTCTGCTATTATACAAATCTAGAAAGAAAGTGGGAAGTGGTGTTTGACAGAAAAGAAATAGATATTTAGCTTGGAAAGCCAAAGAGATTTGAGTAATTTCTTAAAAAGGAAAACCAACTCCCCCCAAGGTCAATATTTCTTATGTTCCCTCAGTTAAAATTCTCTCGTGCTCTTTTTGTTGCACGCCCATTAACACAGTATCTCTCTCCACTCCCTACACAGACGTTTCTGTCAAGGTGACACTGAGGCATCAGTCCTTGAAGCTAAAGAAGAAGCAGACCAAACGCGCCAAACACAAGATCAACCCCGTATGGAACGAGATGATCATGTTTGAGGTGCCACACGAGCTCCTGCGTGCCTCCAGCGTGGAGTTGGAGATGCTGAGCCAGGATGATGCCGGGCAGAGCCACGTGCTCGGCAAGTGCAGCTTGGGCTTACACGGCGCTGGCACGGAGAGGAACCACTGGGAAGAAATGCTGAGGAACCCCAGGAGACAGATAGCCATGTGGCACCAGCTCCACATGTAGGCTCCTCATGATTGCTGCCAACCAGATGTCCACTCAGCCTTCGAGCCTGGGGGAATAAGCTGCATTTCACCGTCTACCTTCCCCTGCACAAAGTTTCTCAGCACAGCATTCTTCTTATGCCACCTTCTCTGGTTTTCCTGCCTCATCCTAGCCCAGGAAACTGTCTGGAAACTATATTCAAAGGACAAGCTCTCACCTAATCGAGTGGTTCTCTCAGTTTCAGCCTGGACAACTTGAATTAATTTTACTAGCCTGCCCACTGTCATTTCTGTGGCGTCCTTGCTTCTGCAGAGGGGAGCAAAGGTATCACGGAAATACAAGCCACTCCTCGGCAGCCGGCATGGTCACCCAAGTCCCTTGAGGAGTGCTGGCTTCATAATTAAAAACACACAGCAGATGTTCTACCCATCACTGTTTTTCACAACAATTTTCAAGATTGTGAGAAATGAAGATCACAAAACTAACTTTGACTGCAGAGCCACAGTACCAGGATGAAAGAGAGAGAGAAGCCGACGTGCAGGAGATGGATACCCTGAAAAAAATAAAGAACTAAGAGAGAGAACAAAGGAAGAAGAGAGCGAGACAGACAACACTCTCCTCCTATGCAGCCTTTGAAGCAAACACTGCCAAACAAGGAGTCAGATACTTTACTTTTATTTCCTGGAGTGTTTGATGCCTTGTATTTAGGATTCTTTAAAACTGCTGAAAACACGAACAGAAGCAGACTACCTTTATCCTTCTGTAGCATCATCTGGGAAGACTCTAAACATGGACAAAAAGTTATTGATAAAGTTGCCTCCAAAACCTTGGACCAAATCTTTCTGCTTACTGCCATCTTTTCTGTTTTTTTCTGAGCTAGACAGTTTCAGATACTCTAATTATATTCCAGGCAACATCTAAGACTAGGCAAAAGAAGTGGGATCATTTCACACACTAGCAGTCAATTGATGACTCTGGTTTGATAGTTAACTATTGCACTCAAATCCTCATACCAGCATTACTCGAAGGCAACCCTCAAGAACCAGCATGCATTTCATCACTTCCAGACAGAAGGAATTCACTGACCAGACAGACTCTCCAGGGCTTGTTTTTTTGTGTGCGCTTTCGAGATTTGACATGGCTTAAGTTTTGCTATTTACAGTCCTTTTTCTTTTGTGTCTAGATGAACTGAAAGTCTAGCACTGGCAGCGATGATGTTATGACCCCATAAGCACAGTGCTTGTCCTACCACGTTATTTCAAGCAGCTTTAAAGGACTTCTGTGGTGATAGGGCAACCAAAAATGTGAAGACAGAACCATATAGAGAACTTCAGGGTCAGCTTGATCCTCCATTTAATTCAAACTGTTAAGCTAGGCTTTATCGAGTATCCATCCCATTTTGATGGCTTAGTCAAATAAGCCTAGCAGACCATCAGGTGAAGGCTGCCATGCGGTTGGCAAAGGGAAACCACTGGAACCAGTGTCCACAAACTGGCTGAAGTGCCAGGCACAGAGGGATGTGGACAGGGGAATGAAGTTCAGCTGGAAGCCAGTCACCAGTGGTGACTGGGGCCAGTAATGGGACAAACACTGTTCAACGCCTTCATAAAAGATCTGGACAATGGGGCAGAGTGTGTAGTGGTTGCTACACGAGGCAAAGGGATGTGGAGAGGCTGGAGGAATGGGCTGCCTGGAACCTCCTGAAGGTAAACCTGAAGTGGCAGGGCCTGCATCTGGAGAGGACAAGCCTGAGCAGCAGAGCAGGGCTGGCACCTGAGTAAGTGGAAAGTGGCTTCCCAGACAAGGACCTGGTGGACACCAAGCTGAACACGAGCCAGCAATGGGACCTTGCAGCAAAAGCAGCCAACAGTGTCTTGGGCTGCTCTAGGAAAAGCATTGCCAGCAGGTCAAGGAGGGGGATCTGACCCTCCACGGAGCACCAGCGAGGGCACTGCTGGAGGGCTGTCTCCAGGGCTGGGCTCCCCCCTAAGAGAGAGATATGGACACACTGGAGAGAGGCCACCAAACAGCTGTGAAGGTGATTAAGGGACTTGAGCATCTGTAGGAGAGGCTGAGCCAGCTTCTGTGAAGAGACCAACAAGGTTGATGAAAGGTGAATGTCAACAACAATGCCAGGAGTTACGGGGTCATTCTGAAGAGAGTGATAAAACAGCTTTGGCCAAATTAAGAAACAGAAGAGCTAAGTATGCCCATCAATCTTACACCCAGTGTTGTAATCTCTGCAATTGCTTCACTGCCTACAGGGGATCTAAACAAAAAGAAAATTGACTCCCTGTTTAGCTTTATGGCTTTTTGGATATTAACAAAAAGCTGTAGGATATTGTGAGTAAACTAAACACAGGGTATTAGGAGACAGTGAATTCTCAGTAGTTGTTGTGTTCATGATTTGCCTGCAGATACATCTATAGATTTGGAACCATTATTTCTATTTAAGCTCAAAATTCATTGTACTCCACATATAGGTTTCTAGCAGCACTGTGACTCTTCCTTCTTTTTAGGATAAAGATAAGGAGGATAACTTCATGGTATGATGCTGTTTGGCTGGCACCGGAAAGCCTGAAGGGTCAAATACTTGCCTTGCTGCCAAGAGATTTCTCTAGTTCTGCCTCCCGCTTATTTTAATGAGCCTTTTATAACATCTTGGTGACTGATCGTAAACAGCATTATCTGCCTCTGCCCCTGGTGATTTCGGCACACCCTGTAATTAGATAGCAGTCCCACAGCATCTGAAGGAACAGCTCCTCACAATCTGGATTTTCTGGGACAACACAGAGTCCTCCTTTACAGCAGGAAAGCACATGTAGACACACTGCTTAACCCCCAGTCCGTTTTAAAAGCAGAGTGGTGCCATCAGTGGTAACGAAGGGCATCATTCCCTCCTTTGCTGCCATAGGATTTGCACAGGGAAGAGAGGAAGAGCGCAAACACACGCACCTTTGCCAGCTGGATCATTTCTGTTGTCTGGCATTTTAGCCTGGAAAGAATGTCTCTCATGCTCAGCGCAGCCGGACAAAGGCTGATTCAACGGGGCGGCCGTTTCGGGGCTGAACACGGGGGCAACGGTGAAGGGTGCCGGCTGTCCCGCAGAGGAGGAATGCGGCGGACGTGCGGGACCAAGGGGCTTTGCTGACACAGGCTGCTTGTCACCGCATTCCAGCACCCGCCCAGTGCCCTGCCCTGTCCCCTGCCCCACTGCCACAGCCCCAGGACCCCACCAGGATGAACTGGCCCGAGCAAGTAGATGACAACATCATGAATATAAAAGTAAAGTATTTGGAAGTTCTCGGTGCCATTATACCAAGTAGCTTCAGCGACGCAAGGTGTGACAGGATGACTGTGGCATGGCACAGCCAGGAGAGAGCCAGGCAGACCCTGGTTTGCAGCTCGATACATGGGAGCATCAGTGAGCACCACAAATACTCTTTAAAGGGTGCTGCTTATAAAGTGCATTGAAAGAGAAGCCGCAAAATACCAGCTATGGCAATTAATGTTCTTAAGCTGCGTACGTGATCAACACCAGCCATCAGATTCCCTAATGACTATTCAGTGGTTGCAGTGATTCTTTTTCCTACCATAACCCATTAATGTGAAGAAGCTGGGAGCAAAGAGTCTGTAGGGAGGAAGAAAAGAAGGCGGGGGGAGGAGGCAGACAACCTGGTCAGAAGGAACAGTCCTTCTGACAAAGGGTCACAGACAGGAATTCATAGTCCCTCATCCAGTGACAGAAACCAAACAACACAGCCAGTGCAAAACAGAATGAGAACTGCATCCAGCCCCTCCGGGGAGCAGTGGTCTCCTGCCGTGCCCCGCAGTTCAAAAGAGGGGACTGACAGAGGCCAGAGCAAGGAGCTTGTGACTACATTAACGAGTTACTTGGTTAAAACACAGATTTTAGCCACACATTGCTCTGCCTTGACCTGCCCTCAGAGCTAGAACTTCCCAGAGAAATTACCTAGATTGCTTTTAGGCAATTCATCGTACAGTAGAAGAGATTAAAAAGCACAGATCATCAATAGTCACTGCAACATCTCCAGGGGCTTTAAACTCATTACTACCCTTCCCCAGCAGTAAGGGGCAGCTGGTGTCCTGACAGGGTAATGCTTTTTCAGTGCAGTTTTCCCTTCACTTATTGCCCTTTGCATATATCCTTGCATGGTAACAGACACTCACAGACATAGAATCAGAAACTCATGGAAAATTCCCTTCAGCAGGGCTGGGAAAATTTTCAGGCTCAACTATTCTCCCAGGGAATACTGTGTTTTCAACACCTTGAGCAAAAATATGTTGCATTTTGCTAGCATCTGTCATCAGTGTTATCTGGCAGGAGTGTCCAAAAGACGCACTTTTTAAATTTTTTCTCAGAATGGAGGAGGTTCTGATTCGGGCTTTAGAAATACAGCCCAAGGTTTGCTTGAATTTGCCTGACGTCAAAGATGAATTGAGCAAAACGACATTTAGCAAGAGCTGGTAGCTAAGGTGGCCTGGACCACATCTTGTACTCTTATGAAGGTCAGTTTGAAGTTCGATTGAATTGAAGGGCAGAGCTTTGGCAGCATTTTTTCAGAGCTTAACTAAGTCTCAAAATGTATTTGGTTCACGTGCTGAGAGACAAGCATGAGTAGTAAATACTAATACTTGACGCTTTATGCCATTTCTTCTGTTGGTAATGATCAAATTGCTCAAGAAAGTGAAATAGTGCTTTGTGGCCTTCCAGCATGAGAAGGCTTTTCTTCTCACTTGGTCCTTTATTGTCCCAGCGTGTTTATTGTGCTGAGCCAAATACTGTTTGTCAAGACTCTACATTGTTTGCACAGTCCAAAGCACAAAACCAGAGCATGGGGCTCGGCCGTTGTGTCTAATGTTACAGCACATGTAAATCACCACAAGTAAATAATTCCAAACCATAACAGCAGTGTGTGTCTGCGTCGTTCACTCCAGGGCAAACCCCCTCTGCTTGCAGCTCCTGTTAGGGGTACTGGGGCGAGCCAACAGAAGGTCCTCTGGAGGGTGTCATCACGGGCGGGCGGGCGATGACAAGGGCAGCAGCCGGCAATGGAGTCCTGTCCTGGCCAGGCGTAGATCCTCCTGGCCTCTTCAGCCAGGTGGAAAGGCTTTCCCGCAGCAGGGAAG